AGGTTGGCAGAATGAAGGTCAGGAGCCATGCAACTGGCACCTGGTACCGGTGGTGGAGAGTGTTACGCTTTAGCAAACCCAATTGTAGCGATACGCTTTTGGGCGAGGTTATAGGAAACGATAGCACCGAATTGTGTGAATAAGTGGATGGGCCAAGCCTATTACTTTCTATGCCCTAGTCTCTTGTGTGCCAACCCACAAACGTTGTGGTTCAACATTGAACCAAATCGAAACAAACTGTACCACAACATTTGTGGGTTGACACACAAGAGACTTGGGCATGGCAAATCATAGACTTGGTATTAGGAATGGAAACAGGATAGAGAGGTTGGGGGCCGGAGCTGGTTGGCTGACGGTAGGTCTGTTGTACCAGAGACGTGGTACATGTAGCAAAGGGGTTACCATGACACTCGGAGGCTTGAGCCTCGAATTAGTCACCCAGACGCAGGGGAGGGCGAATAACGCCTCGAATGGGACAGATGTGGTGAGATAAGTCGAGTGAAATGTGTGAACAAGGGGTAGAGCAGATGGATTTTACGGAGCAAAAGAGAGACTGTAATAAGACTAGGGAAGAGGACTGAAGACTTTGATCAACATTCCCTGAACAAGGTTGAAGTGGGGGTGAGAATGAGAGTTGGAGTGTGAAGATGTCATGTCGCTCAAATGAGCATACCACACCATCTAAATAAACACGGTGAAAATTGTGATAGTGAAGGCATGATAGGATGATACCGGAACTGTGAATAGACCAGGGCAGAAGGGGAGATACCACAACAGTTTTGCACATGTTTGGTCGAAGGATCGGCTTCACTTGTCCCTTTTGACGAGATGTTGTATGGTGCTAAGACTGGCAAGACGCACTGACGATGTCGGCGAAACGTTTGGAAATGTACCACGTCGATGGTTCAACTTTAGAAGTGATCATGTAAACAATTGACTCCGGACAAGGTGCGTTCCTCTCAGTCTTCCTACCAATATAACCATGTTGCGAAAACAAGGTCAAACAACCTCCATATGAAGTGGGGTTGAGAGAAAAAGATGCGGCACTGGAGGTTAGAACGAAAAATAGGGGCGAGGAGGTATGCCAGAACGGTCGAACAGAAAATTGGTCAAGAGGATTGGCTTCACTTGTCACTTTGGTAAGTTGTAACTCTGTGCTATGATGGCGCCTCTCACTGACGATGTCGACTATGATGCCGGCGAAACAGTTGGGAATGTACCAAGTCGATAGTCAGAAGCTAGGAACCACGAATATTATGACAGAAGACATGGGACTAGGTAAGTTCCACAAAGTCTTCTTGACGCTCCAACCAAGTTGCGAAAACGAGGACTATTAAGTAAAGGAGACTGCCACCAAATAGAATGTCACACCATCTTGGTCATCATATCTACCATCCTCGCACTAAACTTATCACATCTGGTGCGATTTACACGAGGACTGATTTCTCACATTGACCAATTCCGTCACAGCCAGACAAACGAAAGTTGCAAGATGGTGAGACATACAGACCTTGGCGCAATTTAAGCAGCGAAGAAAAGTTCCGTTTCGAGGAATCTCTTGTTTCATAATTGTTGAGCTTACTTCCATTTGGAGTGATGAGATTCGAAGGTCCGTTCCACCAGAAGACGACGGCGAATTCCTCTTGACCAGCTGTCGATTGACTTTACTGGAAGATTCATAATGAGGCTGTTTCCGAGGCAATCTCCTTCGATTCCGGTGAAAAGGTGCTAAGCAAGTTATCATCGTTAGGGGGACCTTCATTTCGAATGAAAGTACATGAAGAAGAGATTCGTTTATCGATCTCACCAGATGAGGACGGATGAAATCGTTGTACTGCAGCCGTTTAGCTTTTATATTATATTATATTCATGTTGACGCAGTCTGGATTTGTAATTTCTAATCTATTGACTCGATTTAGTGTATATAAGTAGTAAGATGAAGCCGGATAGTGTTC